ACAGGCTGGTAGCTGCAGAGTCTGTGGATCCCATGGCAATAAGAGCATCTCAGCCCTGGTGTAGGTCTCCATGTGGCTCCTCCTGAACAGGAAGGTGAAACAGAGAGAGAGGGTCTAGCAGGGATCAGCAAGTCTGGCTTGTCAACAGGAAGACAAAGGCAGAGAGAAAGTGTAGGGTCTGCCTCAGGGAGAAGTAAGGAAGTTCCCAGGATCCTCATGAAAAGGCCACACCCACAAGGAGGCATCATCAGGCTGTGACCTGATTGACAGGCTAGACTCCACCCCCACACTTAGCAAGTTGACATGAAATTATGTAACTACCAAGCACAGTGTCGTGTTTCCTGTCCCAACGAAAACATCACATTCCATCATGTTGTCATGTCTTTGTAGGCATATCTTATTTGTGACAGCTTCTCAGGCGTTTTCTTGTTTTTGATAGCTTTGGCAGTAATTAGGCGTACTGGTCAGGCACCTTTTCGACTGTCCCTCAATTTGGATGTGTCTGATGTTTTTCCCCCGTGTTAGAGTGGGGTTTGGGAGGCAGATCCAGAGGGTAAAGTGCCTTTCTGATCATATGGTTTCAAGATGCACGCGATCAGCATGACTTATCACTGTTGATGTTAACCTTGCTGGCCCGGCTCTGGGGTATCTTCCTGAGGTTTCTCCACTTTAAGTTCCCTCCTCCCTTGTTTTCCATCATGTACTGTTTGGAAAGCAGTCACTGTGCATAAGCCACACCTCAGAGGAGTCATGCTTTACCTTCTGAAGCATGCAGTATTAACAAATTACATGGAATTCCTTTGCATGACAAGTCTTTCTTCTCTCCCACTTAAAGACAAAAGAAACCACACAAGAACACTGTACTGTAATTGGTAAAATTTCTTATGGTGGTGGTGGGTCCAAATTCACTGCCATCAAGTATATTTTTACTCATAATACCCCTACAAAGGAGGATAGAGCTGCCTCTGTGTGCAACTCTTTATGGAAGTAGGAAGCTGCTGGTCATTTTGAACTGCTGACCTTGTGGTTAGCTGTGACAGCTAGTTAGGATAGCAGGTCCTGTCATACATTGGCAGCACAAGTTAGAATCTTTGTCACAGCTTGCATTCATCCTGCATCTACTCTGACATCTCCCAACCTCCTAATTGATTTTTTTAAAAATTGTATAAGGTTTACTCTTTGGGCTGTGTAGTTGCATGGGTTTTGACGAATGCCTAGTGTTTTGTATCGAGCACTACAGTAGGACACAGAACAGTTTCCTGCCCTGAAGTATTTCCAGTGCACCCCGTTTCATCTTTATGGGTCCTCTTGCAAACCCTGGAGCCATGGGTCTGTGTTTTGTCTGCATAGTTCCATATTTCTCCAGAATTCCATATAAATAGAATCAGGCAAGTATGTAGCATTTTTAGACTGGCGTCTTAAATTTAGCAATGTGCATTTAGGATTCATCCATGTTTTTTCATGGCTTGATGATTGACTTCTTTTCATTGTGGAGCAATCCATTGTATGGATGTACCATAGTTTGTTTATCTGTTCACTTATTGAAAGGCATCTTGATTGCTTCTAGCTTTGGGCAGTTCTGAATTAAGCTTCTATCAACATTTGCATGATGTTTTTCTGTTGGTATGCTTGCAGTAGTTGATTGCTAGATTGTATAATTTGCATATGTTTAAATTTATCACTGCCAAATTCTTCCAAATTGACTGTGCCATGGTGCATTACCGATGGTAATGAATGAGCTTTCACATCCTAGTTAAAAACCAAACCCAACTCGTTGCCAGCGAGTGGATTCTGAACATCTTTCCATATGCTTGCTTATTTTCCACCCACAGATCATCTCTCATGAGGTATTTGTTGAGATCTTTTGCCCATTTTAATTGGATTATTTTTATTCTTATTTAGAGTCGTAAGTATTCTTTATATATTACAGATTCAAGTCTTTTTATCAGGTATATGCTTTGTAAATATGCAGCCCAATCTGTTTGTCTTGTCATGCTCTCACCCGTGTCTTTCACAGAGCAGGTTCAACTTAATCGGATTTTTCTTCAGCAGATGTTGGCTTTGTTGTGTCTAAAAACATCACCACCAAATCCAAGACCATGTAAATTTTCTTTCCTTTTTTTTTT